ATCTCTTCATCGTCGCTAATTGAGGATACTCGAGAGTTTTCCACTGGCATGGAGTTCCTAATTGTGTCAAAGTTCTCCTTAGCTTTCTCCATATCAACACCGGCCGATCCGAGATGCTCTCGATGAATTTCCCCGGGGTGCAGACTTCTTTGTTGCTTGTGAATTAAAGGGTTTGAACTTTGTAAAGTCTCTGTCTGGTTCTTGTTACTGTTCGAAATCTGTTACGCAAAACTCAAGAAACACCACCAAACAGAGAAGCGGTTAACACTAAAACTCCAAATGAGAACAACCTCCAAAACTCCGACGTGAAGAAACTGCACTCAAGTAAATCGTACACGTAACAAATAGTCACAATGTGTTTACACAATTAGAAGTCTTATCGCGCGCGCTTAAGTCGCACGTCATACCGGTTGAGCTGTCCCACTTGGAGTAAGTGACGATTTCAAAAAATGTTCGGACATAATGTTCATAAATAATCAGATCAAATCTACAAAAGAATAACGACAGCTCATACCGATATCAGGAATGGTGGATTTCTTGGACCAAATATTGGTAGGGGAAGATTTATAGGAGCTTTGAAAAATAGCGGGTTGCGCGTTTAACGCTTGAGAGTGAGCAACTGTTTACGACGGTTAGACCCCGTAAGCACAGCTTAAAAGTGACGGTTGCTAATTTATCGTTTACTTCAATGAAAATTGTCTTGTTACAGTTGCAATTAAGTAAAAGTACACATACAATAGTAGTTATCTATGTTTTGTCATTCCTGGATTTGTGTTGGTGAATAAGGACTAACCTCTGCAGGGAGGGATTTAAAATTGTTGAGTGTCTAGTTTGGATAACACGAATGAAAAACTTAAGTGAATTTAACTTGAATTAAGTGATTGATTTGTTAGCATGTTACATCTTTTGGCCCCGGTCGTTGTCAAAATAAATGAGAGCTATTTGGTGAGTTATCTTTTATGACCGATTTTGTAAAACAATTATTCCATTCAGGCTGGCCTAATGTGGGATCATTATTAGCAAATCGGTTAAATCAATGATAATCTCTGACCAACTCTTGAAATAACCTCATCTGCATCACTGGTTTAACATGATATACACAAGCAAATTGATTGAGAACCAAAGCTTCAAAAATCCGTTTACACTTGCATTGCCTAATAAGAGGCATATATCACGAATAATTCATTTTGATGAAAGGCTTTTTATCTTTTAAAGCACTCCACCGTTTTTCCATTTTTCCCTGGCTCTATAGCGTTTCTATAAGTCTCCTGTTACNAATAGGGATATGGTTATACCTCCAGTAAGATGGCGCACTATATCTATGTCACTCAAAAGGTATTAAAAAGATGCTCCATGAATTTCCTTACTTTTCCCATTTTCGCTACTAAACCAGATGAAATAGACAATAAAGGACTTGTTAGCTGGACGCCAGTAAAGATACCTGATGGCTTTGCTAACCTGAGGTTGGATGGTTACATTTTCTGGGGCCATCACGGCTGCTCGATGTTCCAGGATCCCGGCACCAAGGAGTGCGTGATAAGCATTTCTGAGACACAAATGAGCATACTCCAGAGCTTCTGGATTTGCGGAATTTTCCACTTTAACTCTAGCGACATTTTTATGAGAATCCGGCTCTAAGCATGGATAAAAAATACATGAACATTAGAAATTTCCAAAACTATAAGATTTAATATCTACACAGATGTTCCCAAGACATCTGCGGTGGACGTAATATTGTTGACCTCACTTCAATAAGTCAACAGCTACGAACCAATCCTGGATACCTAAGTCAACGATAGACGTAAAACTAAACTACTTCTGTTGAGGTAAGTTAAAAGCTTCTTCTTTCTCACCTTCAGCTTGTGGAAATTTGTCATTTGTCTCCGCGACTAAACATCGAGATTTTCGCAATGGCTCGTCACACTCTTTCTCAGATGTATCTAAACTTTCTGGAGCCCTGCGCTTTCGTTTCCTGGTCTTTCCTATCAGTTGAAAATACAGATTCAACCACCTGTACCTTATCTCATTATTTTAGTATCACAAAAGAGTTGAGAGAAGTCAAAAGCCTCTCCAAACTAACCTTCAGCTTCTGGGGATATTCCCTTGTCTGTTGAAGTCCATGAGTCATTCGGTTCACCGAGTGGAATCATATGCTCAATCGTCACCTTTGCTGTGGATGAATCAGTTTTCTCAACAGCCAAGCATGGGACTTTTGGCAACGGCTCATCAGTTTGGTGTAAATTTGTCTCCATGATTAAACAATGGGATTTTTGTAATGGCTCGTCGGACTCTTTCTCAGATGTATCTAAACTTTCTGGAACACTGCGCTTTCGTTTCCTTTTGTTTCCTAAAAGTTAAAAAAGAAGAAAAGGAAGTCAAAGGTTGTGAAAACGATGTATCTTGGTACCCATTGTATCTAATTTAAAAGATATTTAACAAAGGCTGAATATGGGTTTGTTTATACAAAGAAAGACTCCCTCTGGCAGCGTACACCAAGGAA